CCACCCTAGCATCCCAGTACTACATCACCAAAACTCCAAACACATACCCAAGAACACAAAGCCACCGAAAACATACACCCATATATATCACATACCCTCACCGACACCATATATCACATACATACACTGAAAACATACACCCATATATATCACATACCCATATATATCGACCATATATCATATATCACATACCAGCATACCCAAGAACAACACCATCGATTGACTATCCAAAGGAAACCAACTGCCTAATAGGATCATAACATCGATACCCCTTAGATTGATGACAATAGCCCACAAAGATACAACGAATCGCTTTATCATCAAGTTTATGACGAGTAGGAGACCGATCCTGAACAAAACATGTGCATCCAAAAACACGAGGGGGGACCGGAAAAAGTGTCCGCTCAGGAAATAAGACCTGTAAGGGAGCCTTATGCTGAAGAACACGACTCGGCGTACGATTGCACAGAAAGGTAGAAGTCAAAACAGCAAAATGCCAATAAGATTTTGGTACCCTCATGCCTCTAAGCAGACAACGTACCATCCCTATCAAACTCCTATTTTTCCTCTCAGCAACACCATTTTGCTCAGGAGTATATGGACAAGTGAGTTGCTGAAGGATACCCTGAGAAGAAAGGTGAGACACTAAAGCATCAGACACATATTCTTTGGCATTATCCGAACGAAGAGCACGAACAATGACATCGAATTGTGTCTTAATCATCTGTAAAAACTGAGTGATTATAGGGAGCACATCAGACTTCCTATGCAAAAGGTAGACCCAAGTACAACGGGTATGATCATCTATAAATGTCACATAATATCTGGCACCTGACAGAGCAGTAACGGGAGAGGGTCCCCAAATATCAGAGTGTATTAGGTCAAATGGCTTGGGTGACTGATGCATGCGAGGAATATAATTGGCCCTAACATATTTTGATAGGGAACAGATAACGCAATCAAGTTTACCACCAACACAAGCATTACTCAAAGCAGGAAACAACATACATAAATATTTAAAATTTGTATGTCCAAAACGGTCATGCCACAATTGAACAGTTTGTGACGAAAAATCATAACGACAACTACTAGGTAAAATACTAGCATGCAAGCTAGGAACAGAAAAAGACAAAGCAGGTGCAGGTGAAGGAATTGGTGAAACTGGAGATGGATTGCCAAGATAATACAGTCCATCTTTCTCATGTCCCTTGATAATAATCCTCCTGGTACTCAGGTCCTGCAAATAACACGAATCAGATAAGAATACAACCGCACAGTGAAAATCTCTGGCTAACTGATGTACAGATAATAGATTCATGGCCAACTTTGGCGCATGAAAAACCGAATGTAATGTAAGGCCATCTGGGAGACGGACTGTACCCCTACTAACAATAGGGGCATGTGTTCCATCTGCTAACTGAACCTGTGTATGTAACGGCTCGTCAAAAGTGGTGAAGTGATGGGCCTCACCTGTCATGTGACCATTCGCACCCGAGTCCAACATCCAAAGGGGAGATGAACTGGCACAAGCGTGAAAGGCACGAGATATACCTGTAGTGGTGACAGCAGCAGTAGTCAGACTCTGAGAAGTCAGAGCAGACATAAGTATATCTAATCGGGAAGTGATAGCATCCATATCACTTTGCCAAGGAGGAGCAGTAGCAGGAGTGGCGGTAGTGCCCGGTGGTACCTCAGCAATAGCAACAGTACGGCTGCGAGAAGGTGGCTTAAGCTCTGGATGGAGCTTCCAGCAAGTAGCCCTGAGATGTCCTGGTCGGCCACAATAATCACATTGACGGGAATCCCCCCGTCTGCGCTGATCTGGGGCGCCCTGACGGCGCTGGTCTGAGCGTTGCCCATCCCTGACTAAGGATCCTGAACGGGACCCTACAGCAGTTGCAAGGGCCATCTGGTCAATCGAAGGAGTCAAAGCTGCAACTGGAAGTGATGCAATACGGACTCGACGCTCATGCTGCTCAATCATCCCATACACCTCATAAAGAGAAGGAAGTGTCAACATCGACAAGATCTGAGAACGAGGTCCCTCAAACTCATCACGAAGCCCCATAAGGAACTTGTGAATCCTATCCTCCTGCTCTCGAGTATGCAAGAATGCTGCTCCCTCGGGCTCTATCTTCGGAATAGCAGCAAGAGGACGTAGAGACTCATACTCAAGCCAGCGCTGGGTCAAATAGCCATAATAATCCTGAACGGTCATATCTCCCTGCCGAGCATATGAGAGCTCCTGAGAAAGCTCATAAACACGAACTCCCCGTCCTGACTGAGAATACATCTCTGATAATGCGCTCCATAGCTTCGGAACAGAGCTATGAAACTGGTGGATCCTGCAAACAGAGGGCTCCATTGAGCCAAATAACCATCCAAGAATGGCACAGTTTTCAGAGAACCACGCAGAATATCCAGGGTCGGCATCAGCTGGTTTTGGGTGAGATCCCGTCAGCCAACCAAGCTTCCCTACACGGCCTAAGAAAAGCTGGAATGAGCGTGACCACTCAGCGAAGTTACGACCATTCAACAATTGTGCCGTAAATTTTTGAGAGATCATGCCCGGTAATGCTGGTAATGCAACTGTGCTAGTAGGCACTGTATACTGGTCAAACATAAAAGTGGAAGTACCCATAGATGTCTCAACGGTAGAGGTGTCAACAGTAGGGTTCTCAAGTCCCTCAGTAGTAGCCATATCAACAACAATACTAGGGCACCCGTGACAGAAAAATAACTCTAAGATAAATAGAGGAATAAAATAAGGAAGAACAATATACCTTCAGTCGAACAGTAGCGACAAATAAGGAAGGTCCCAAAAGCTCCCAAATAATCAAGTCACGGTGCCCAGAAATCCAATAAATATAAATGATCTACTGCATCAAGAGCAGATCAACACGACCAGGCAGCGGGCTAGGCAGTGACCCAACAATAGGCTAGGTTATATTGGCTGGGTTTATTAGGTAGTGGGTTATTGATCAATGACTCTGACTCTTGTGGTAATGAAAAATCAAAGGGAGTATCATCAACTGGAGGGGCAGACAAAGGACTGAAAGGAAAATAAGGAATATGCTCAAGAAAGGTAACATCTAGACTGTGATACATACGATTGGGGTTCACCAGGTGTCATTCTGATCATACTTGTTTTATTCGACGGAATACTTCTGGACAGTGTGTCATCCTTCTGGTATATGTTGATGATATTATTATTACTGGTGATGATGTTTCTGGGACTGCACAGGTCAAGATAGACCTTGGGAAGGCCTTCGATGTGAAGGATATTGGATTTCTGCGATACTTTCTTGGGATTGAGGTTGCCCGTAGAAGTAGAGGTATTGTTCTTTCTCAGAGAAAGTATGTTTTGGATCTTCTTTCAGACACTGGGATGTTGGGGTGCAAACCGGCATCATCACCCATGATTCCAAACCTGAAGCTTACTGCTGAAGGTGAGGAGTTGAAAGATCTGACAGTTTATCAAAGATTGGTAGGTAGACTTATCTACTTAGCCAATACTAGGCCGGACATTTCATTCGCAGTCAGCCGAGTTAGTCAATTCATGCATAGGCCATGTCAGCCTCATCTTGATGCAGTTTATCATATTCTTCGGTACCTCAAGTCTTGTCCTGGACTTGGGTTATTTTATGCATCAGGATCTCAGACCGGTTCTCTAGCCTGTTATTCAGATTCAGATTATAGGGGAGCATGTGATGGTCGATCTACTACGGGTTTCTGTGCTTTTCGAGGGACTCATCTTATCTTTTGGAAGAGCAAGAAACAGGCAGTTGTCTCCCGCTCGTCCGCAGAGGCAGAGTATCGGGCATTGGCACTTGGCACATGTGAGATTATCTGGCTACGATCGATTCTTGACGAGTTGGGTTTTTCAGTGACCTCTCCATCCACATTATATTGTGATAATCAATATGCTATTCAGCTCGCTTCTAACTCTGTACTACATGAGAGAACGAAGCATATAGAGATCGATGTTCACTTTCTTCGGGAGAAGGTCAGCAGTGGTCTTGTTACTCCATCGTTTGTGGGGACCAGTGATCAAGTTGCGGATATTTTTACCAAACCTGTCACTCTGTCTATTCTTCGGGACTCCGTTGTCAAGCTTGGCTTAGTTGACATTTTTGCGCCTAGCTTGAGGGGGAGTGTTGGAGTATAGATAGTCTAGTTTATTAGGATTTCTTTTCCCTTTTTTACCCTTACTATGATTTTTATATTTTGCCTAAACTACAAGGATGTTTAAGTCACTCTGTATTATTTTTGGATATACATACGGGGCTCTACTCTTAATTTGAGAATCCCTTTTCACTTACGTTTATTCCAAGTCTTATCAATTCATTAAAAATTTTACAACAAAACTTATTCACTCATACCTTTTCTTTCTTTGTCAAGCCACTTTGATTCGATCTTTCTATCTGTGCAAAGCACCCACAAAATTTGTTGGTGGCTAGCTGAATAACCGATCAACGATTCATCAAAGAATTTTGAGTACGACTAGGGCATGCCTTAGGTTTGTATTCGTGGAAGAACTCACAAACCCTTTGTTAATATGTCTTTGATTTTTGCTCATTTTGTTGCACAGCATCCAAACTAATATTAAGTCATACTGAGATTATCATAATGTCTTCTTCTATTATAAAATTGTCACCTCATTGTTTTTTGGTGGTGGATTCCACTTGAGGAGATATTGGTGAAGATTGATTTATAACCTCATCATCTAAATTTGTTCCATCATGTATGAGATTGATGAAGTACGCACCATGTTGGAATGGATCCATGACTAATGCCTATATTTCACAATTCATAATGCCACGAGTAAGCAAAGAAAATAAAACTAGCCAACACAACACAAGCATTTCAACGAGGTATCAAGATATAGTCTAATTTGGATAACTATGAAATTCAGGTTGAAAAACACTATTATATGTGACTATGTGCAATTACCACACTACTATGGCCAGAAAATGTTTAACTGATATGGAAGTAGTCTAATGAAGAGTGTGTACCTGATTGTTTGGTTCCCTGGTGGAAGTTCAAGTGGCATTAAGGGACAGCCGTCTTGGAGTAACCCCTTATGTGACAGTCACTCAAGGAATGCTTGTGCCTACGAGTTAGGTAAACTTGGCATTCGACAGGGATCCTGTGTGGAAATTCCAAAGTGCCATAGATGGAATATTATTGGTAATTCGAAGTATTTGAATTCAGTACACATAGCATTTGAATTAAAAATATTTGAATTGGAGCAGCCACTTGCTTTAAAAATGAGCATTTTGAATTCAGTACACAGAGTAGCTAACTGTATATGAACAGAAGGTTAAGAATTAAATGCCAAACATCACAAAGAACGCTTAGCAGCTAGTGCAATGCACTCACCTCCAATTTGTATAAGAAGAAGGGATGTAATGAACAAGTTATTGACTTCAGATGATCCATCTAGAGTCCAACCACACAACTAACAACCAGCATGAAAATTATACATCAACTAACACCAAGTAAGATAAGAGGTATCAGAGATTGATAAAATCAACTAACACCAAGTAAACATTGACACACACAAAAATACTCAAACAATCAAAACCCAACTGAGAGAGTATGAAATTTCCATGAAAAACCAGCATGAAAATTGACTATAAAAATCAGCAATAAAAACCAGCAGAAATTTCCTTTCATATCTGAGGAAGAGGATGAATATATCGATGACAGAGGAAGAACTTCGATTTCTCCGGGAAAAGGCGGAGCACCTGAATCTGAACAATGCTGCCCAGTTGAATGGTGGAAACATCAATCTTGGGGAGGGGAAAATGGGAAATGACATCAATAGTCTGATGGGTCTTGCTGGTTTTCATGGAAATGGAGCTAATAATGGCAATCTCAGTGGTATGGGAGGAGGAGGGTTTCAAGTCCAAGCAAACAACGATTTCCATGGTACTGCTGTT